TACTACTATCTTGAATATATATATATATATATATATATATATATATATGTGAATGAAAATTTGTATGGAAGTAGAATAACTTGTTATGATTTAAATATGTTTCATATAAAATAAAATTATTGTTTTTAATAATCGTATTTATGATTAACTATATATCATACAATATATTCATTTTTTCATTTTCTCGTCTTTATTTATGATTTATAAATAATATAAATTTTTAGTCAGCAGCAATGCATGCATAATAAAGATTCAAGGAAGGAGTAGGAAGAAAAGTATCAAAGTTTATGCAATGTGTCGATGTATATTATAATTATTCTTGTTGCATTGTTCGAGCAAATAATTATTGACAAAACACTTTGGAATATCGATTTTAGAGATTAAAACAAAAGTTTGATGTATAAAAATAGTGATTAAGATTTGTTTATTAAGTTTGCAATTAGAAGAAGTGAGACAATTGTCCTATTTTATCTCCACCTTCCTTCATCTAATGCTAACTTAAATATCTATCAATACGTTAACAGTCTCCATGACAGAAATGTGTTAACTTCACAAACAAGCCTTAACCAACACATTTCTGCCATACCACTCTTTGCTTCGTTTGTTTTAGCCTCTCCAAAGATGTTCCGTGTTAAACGCATCCTGCACATCCTGCATCGCAACGAGTACGAGTTTCTGCATCATTTTTGTATATCGCAGGAAGGAAGAGGAATGATAAATGATTTCGCGAAAATTGCACTACAGAGATAAAGATATACGTACGTATATATATGCGTGGCGATTGTAACGTGGCTGATTGTCTGATAAACTCGACAACGTAAGTACGTAATTAACTAAACTAATTACAAATTTATCGCTTTAATCGGATCGAGAAAAGTGGGACAATTTCCTTCTTGTGCAATCGCGCGACGTGTAATAAAAAATGATTGTATCTGACGTAGAATAACGAGAGAGAAAAGAAAAAAGAAGAAGAAACGTAAAGGGTGATGACGCGACACGAGACATCGCAACAGAAAACGGGTGAAAAGGGCATCTGCCAGTCACAACATACGGAGGAACGCCTCGTGATAAAATCGAATCGGCACGTTTCGCGGCGTAGCCCGTTGCGACGCTATTTTTCGAGGGAAAAGGATTTATCGTCGATCATTCTTTCTGAAAAACAATTTTCAGAAACGATTCTCTGTGCTATTAAATCGGAAGAATTCGTGAATCGGTTTGATTCAATGGTAACACGCCGATATTATCATCAGTCGCCATTGAGGATTTTTTCGTCTACCGCCGATAAACGGTAGTAGCATGTTCGACGCAAATCGATCAAGGGCCACTGTCACAAAGTGGATCGTCGCGAACAAACAACTGGTCGTTAGAGAGAATAATCGGAGGAAGGAATCGAACACGAATAATCCTAATCATTTCCAGCAAGAAGAATGGAATAAAATGGAGAGTGAAAGAGGATAGCAAAATGGCAGAAACGAAGGGCAAATGACGATTGGTAATGTGGTAAAAATCGGTTCGAAATAATAATATCAATCGAAATAGATATTTTTTTTTCCCCCCGTAGAAAAGAGAAGCTATGAACAGAGGATTCGAACGTACCAAGTTTGGTGGCGAACGGGGGTCATCGCCGTCACGACGAGGTTATCGATGAATCGAGAAAAGGTGGGGAGATTTTTGTACGCCGTTGTGATCGTCCCGCGGAACTCAGTTGAGCGTCGAAAACGCATCGCAAGTGAACGCGAAGAAGAAACGACGAAAGAAGGGAAGGGAGCGCAGGAAGATCTCGGCTCTCTTCGGGACTCGTCGTGGAACGAGCCAGAATTTGAAAAATTCGAGAGAGAAAAATTTTCAACGCTCGATCGTGAAACGGAGTTCAACTAACGGGGGAGAGATTTTTTTTTTTTTTTTGCGTCGCGCGCGCGAGACAAAAACGAGTCAGCATGGAGAAGAAAAGTATCGCGCGGGCGATTCAAAAGAGCTTGGACGGAGGGACGAGGAGGAGACGCCGCGTTCGTTGGCTGTACGGGTTCACCGCGCTGATCAGCGTCGCGATGTTCATCCTGTTTTGGTACACGAGCGTGTTCCACGATGCGGTCCTCTCCGGCCTCGAGTTAAAGAACGGCACCTCGTCCTTCCTGCTCTGGCAGAAGCCGCCTGTCAACCTCGAAATCAAGATCTACGTTTTCAATTACACGAACGTGCGCGAGTTCGAGAGCGGGAAGGCGACCAAGTTGAAGGTGGAGGAGGTTGGACCGTTCGTATATAAGGAGAGTTTGAGCCGGGTGAACGTGGAAATTAATGGGAATGGAACGATCACGTATCAGGAGAGGAAAAGGTACCAATGGGTCTCCGGTAAATCGGAAAACGAAAAGGTGATCGTGCCTAACGTGATGCTGATGTCGACGCTCGCCTTTTCCCGAAATCTTGGTTATTTCTTGCAAATCGGATTGACCATGTTCCTCTCGAAGATACGCGCGGAACCGTTCATCGAGTTGTCGGTCGGCCAATACCTGTGGGGTTACGAGGACGAGTTGTACGAAGTGGCCAAACGATTCTCGTCGTTACGCTCCGTTTTTACTCTGGATAAATTTGGACTTCTCGCCTTCGTACGTATAATAATATTTTTTTTTTTACTTGTTCTCCACTTTTTTCATTCTGGCTGCGATTCAATAATATAGTTTGGTTTATAATGTAAAATTTTATGATATAAAAATGTAAATTGTATAATTCATATAATCAAAAATTATGTCTGTCTAATTAAATTAGTGAAAATGTGGATGTTTTTGTATAAATAAAAATTGCAAAACTTTACAAAAACTTTGCAAAACTCCGTTTTGATGCAATCGCTACTCATAGTCATATCTATTTTCCTCGTATATATATTTGTTTTCGTTTCAAGATTCATTGCTGTTATTTTCTTCATCGTATATCTGTTTTTTTTTTTTGTCATATTTATACTTTCTAGAAATAATAGTGTCAATAATCTTTTTTTATCTAGCTTAACTCTTATTTTTTAAAGATTGCATATATATATATATCAATCTGAATTTAATTGCATAAGATATTATTTCAATTTTATATCATTAGAAATGCTTTAAGTTGATTGTAAGAAAATATAATATGTATCAATTTTTTATATTTCATTAAAGATAAAATTATAATCAAAAAATTTTCATATCGAATTCAAATAGAAAAAAGTAAATAAATACTACTTAAATTCGATTTAATTGAATCAATTATTATTTATGATTTCACAACTTTCACAATAGACGAAAGTTTAAATAATTATAACGAAGCAAATATATTTCAAAAAGTTATGCATAAATAACAAAAATTATTTATAATAATTATAAAGTAATAGTTCATTTTACGTCTTACAGAGCTCGATATAATAAAATTACACATTATATTTTCGCGCGGCTCAGCAGGTATGTTTCGGGTAACTTCGGTCAGCTTCGGCCAGCTTCGGACAGCTTCGGTAGTCGAGCAGTTATTATTTCGCGATTCGTTCAAAATTTAATGCGACTAAACTAAATTAAAAATAAGAAATACGCTGATTTAACGATGAATCCGTTTTCAGAATAATGGTTCGAGTCGGGATCGTATCACGATACACACAGGAACCGATAATCTTGGGATAATCGAGCGAATCAATGGGATTGAAAATCATCAGATTTGGGGAGATGAAAAATGCGATCGAATCTATGGTACCGATGGTAGTATGTTTCCACCGCACTGGATCAAGCAACCGAATAAGACGCTCTTCATTTACGCGAAAGATTTCTGCAGGAAAATACCTTTTCATTACGATCATCGTAGTTTTTCTAGCGGCATACCCACCTTGAGGTGAGTCATCATTGTTTTATATACATTCCGCTTTCTATCCCATTCCTTTCTTTTTTATACAGGATGTTCGAACGAAGTAGATAGATATATTTAACAGAATTTTATTTGAAATTGAAATAAGAAATGACTGTTTAAACCACTTTATTTTTAACATTGTTATTTGAATATATATTACGGCGTTAATATATTCGTGGAACATATTTAGAGCGTGAAATTTAAGCCAAAATAAATACATAAAATTATGTATGTAAAAATGTTATTAAATTATAAGCAATTTAAGTTTTAGTTAGATGAAGCGAGATAGACAGAGCTAAGCAGCGATTTGATAAAAATAAAGCTGTCTTGTAATCTCTGCCTTACTTTAACATAAACTTTAATCACTTGTAACTTGTAATAAGCTCCAATCGAAATTTTTGTACATAATTTATCTTGATCTTTGGAATAAATTCTCACGAATATGTTAATAATATAATATTGTAGCAATAACACGTTATATTGATTTATTTGTTAGCAATTTCAGATATTAAAATTATTTTCTTAAATGTTTTTGTTAAATTTAACAAAACCATAAAAATAATTTTAAATAAAATTTATGAAATATAAATTTATGCAAGTATGATATAATATTATTTGAAATACTATTTCAAATTATCAGAAATATTTATTTCAAATAATATTATTTTATATGTGTTTGTACAATATGAAATAAATGATGCGTTATTTGCAATAATATTTCAAATAATAAAGGAAAGGATTGTGATATGATTCTTCGATTTTATATTTTTTTCTAAATTATATAGCTTAAATTGCTTTAAATTTTGAATTTAATTATGTATTATGAAAATAATATAATTATTCTTTGAATTTTTACAATAATAAGAGCAATAATATGGTTTTTTGAAAAAATCATGTCATAAAATCATAAGATCAATTTCTCAATTAATTTTTTCATGAAATTTTTTTTATTAGTTTTTCTATTTATATATAAATATTCATTTCGTATAATAAACTTTCGCTTTTTTTCTACACCATTCTTTTCTCTTGCATTGCTGCACTCATATCTTTCTTGATCTAATTTTCTTTAAGATCTCGATCTTGGAGAAATTTATGTTAGTTGTGTTTATATGGTTATTAGACAGAAATTAAAGAATAAAATAATGTATATTAGAAATTTTAACTTTATATTTTAAAATATCAATGATCAATTTTATAAATATCGATTCTATCTTTCAAATGCATTTCAACACATAATTTACAAGAAATATTTCTTTTTCAAGATGTTATAAACAGTTCCAAATTATATTTCTTATTAATATACATTATACAATTAACAATATATCATTAAATATAAATTATATAAATATAATAAATGGAATAAGAGATATCTTAACCATTGAATATTTTCGTTGTAACGTGGAAAATTACAATGAACCACATTATATATCTCCTTTCTTTATTATTTGAAAAATGTCCAAGTGTAAAATTTAAGAAATGATTTTAGAGATTAAAATAAATACAATAAAAACTTATAAATATGCAAAGGTTTTCATCAATGCTTATTATTACGAGCAATTTAATTTTACATCAAGTGAAACGAGATGGAGATAAAGTATGACCGAGATAAAATCGTCACGCTCTATTGCAATCTTACTTTATCTAACGTAAAATTAAATTGCTTGTAATTTGAAAAATAAGCTTCAATTGATATCTTTGCATATTTTTGCGTTTGATTTATTTTTTTACAATCTCTTTTTAAACTTTCTATTTACTTCTATCGAATGACCTGTATATGCACACTATTGGGAGCTCAGAAGCAGAGTCAAATATTATTCGAATAAATGGAATTATTCATTAATAACGAATAACCTCGTATTCGTATATAAATCCAGGAATAAACTTTTATCATTGTTCAAAAATCGAAATGAAATTAAAATCAAAAGCAGTAGTGTTTTTAATTCATCTTTGATCGAAGATGAAGAATGATGATTATTGATTTGATAATTTTCCTATTTTTCAATTTATCAAAAATTATATTAATGTATTAGTGATAATTTTTTGAAAATGAAGAACACGATACAATTTTACTTGAGTTATAGGAAATAATTCAGAATGAGTGCAAATTTATTTTTGATAGACGTTTAATCATTATTAATATATATATATATATTACTTATATTTTTATACAAAAAGTGTTATCGTTTAATAAAAATGTGATACAGATTCGATGAAAAAATGAACAATTTATTTCAAATTTAAAATTTTTTTCATTTACTTTATGCAACTTTGAAATGTTTTCTAAATTTGAAATATTAAAATAAAGATTTATTAACTTAATAATTATTTATAATATGGAAATATGTCTTTTAATATGTTTTCTTATCTCTAATGTTAAGTCGAAAAAGAAATTTTTTTTAATATTCTTAATTTTTATAAAAATCTGTTGCTATAAACAATATTTTCCAATTATATTTATTTTAATGTTTTTTTTTCTTTTTTTATTTACCTCTTAAATTTCCACTTATTTTCTATTCTCTAATTAAACGATTTCCACGTTTTTGGCACATCCTGTATAAATGTAAGATTATAAGAATATAATATAATAAGAATATATAATGTTACATCTAACGGTTATATAATAATGTCACAGATTTATACATGAATAATTTTTCTAATAAAATCATTATTTTAACAAAAAATTTTTCTCAACTTTGTTACTCAATCACATCAACACGCATAAACTTACCTGTAGATGTAAAATTTTCGACCAATACAAATTGTGGTTTCCTTACGATTGCATTGGCAACAACCAATCAAATCTGAGCTCTCAACAGTGTATTGGCTCTCTTCTTTCCTCCTCTTCGTTTTGAAAGAAATTTATACCTACGAATGCGCAGGCGAAAATGTCGTCCATCGAAACGCTTCACCAGTCGAATGACTATAGGTACAAATTACCGAGCAACGTTTTTACGTCGACTCGCAACAAAGACTCGTGTTTTTGCCCGAAGGAGTCGCACGATTCAACCATCAGAACATGTCCCCCAACCGGAACGCTCAACGTTTCTGCCTGCAACTTTGGGACACCGATAATCGCTTCTTTTCCTCATTTCTACACGGGTAATGAGTCGTTGTTCGAAAAAATCGTCGGGCTGGAACCTCGACAAGACCGTCACGAAAGTTACATCGATCTTCATCCGGTAAGCGTGCAATTACTAAATATTTATTTTTTTATCGTGGAAAATTTTAAAAGAATCAAAACTTATCGCGATAATTCTCTTGGAAAAAGATATTGATTTTTAATTTTGTTACGGCTTGACTAAAACTCAGAGTTTTTTGCCGTAAAAGTAAAAAAGAGAATATACATATTGGTGAGACAATACAACTTTTCTATTTTTCTTCTTCTCTACGATCTGAAAATTTATTACATTTTTATCATATATTATTTGTGACCTTGTTCCGATTAAAATAAGACCAAACTGCGATATTTGTACTATATTAAAGGACGAAGAAAAAAAAGTTGTTCATCACTGATTAAAAACACAAATTATATCGTTTGTTTGGTTTTATTTTTGATCACAGAAATCTTAAAAATATTTTCATAAAAATTTCGTTACAAAAAAAAAAACAAAAATAAACAAATTTTATCATTACGTTAGTATTACGTCTCACGGATATTCGATCACGGATCAGGTTACATTGTGTTGAAAATTCATCCTTTGTTCCAAGATGAATTTCGTTTTACAATTCCGTTGTACATTGGTTTTGCACTTGTAAAATATTTACTAAATTCGGAAACTGGAAATTTGAGGAAATAAATGAAATAATTGAGAAATTCCTTCATCTAAAAAAAAATATAAATTTTGCTTTTAGCGTTTAGGCATCACGGTGAACATGAACATGAGGCTGCAAATGAACGTAGAGGTACGAAAAGCGATTGGAATTCCCTTCTCCGGAAACCTCGAAGACGGATTGATTCTACCGTTGATATGGCTCGATACTGGAATAGGCGAAATACCCGAGTCGCTTCAACAGATTTTGTATCGAAGTCACTACTTGGTGAACGCCATCGAAGCCGTTTTTCAATGGTGTAGTCTGATCGGCGTGATCATCTCGTTCGGCGCTCTTTTTGCCACGATGAAGAAAGAAGAGGAATCGATCGAGACGAAGCTGGACTCGAAACTCGATCGACCGGTCCCAGAGTGGACCGAAACTGAACTCAATCGGCTGTAACGGAACACGACCGTGATATTATGCACCGCGTGTTTAACGACTTCATCGGGAATACGGCATCGACGATCTAATTTATTGTTAATTCTTTTACTTGACCAATTGATTCCTTTTCTCGATGCTCTTTCATCACGCTCTGAATAACTTGGAAGAGGGGAGAAAAAAAAAGAAAAAAAAAGTCTATCACGCCACTTTGTAACGCGATCAATCGATCATACGATTATCGTTACAGACCTATCCCCTCTGTCGAATGTCGTGTATGCTCGCTTCAATTGTATCGCGATAACGGTATATAGTACAACAAGATAGACCCGCGCTCGCGCGTTCATATTCCTTCGAGAAAAGCCACGTGCAAAAAATAATAAGTAACGATGCAAAATTAACATTGCCATGTGTATGCTATAAGATGTTTTTCTACGATTCTTTTTTATATTTGTATATCTGGCATCGATAACCTATGTCGACATAACAAGTTTGAAAAACAGAGATGGACAATTCATTCGTTCACACGTGTAATACATCGGCAGCAGATTTCCGGTACATGGTGAAATCAACTAGCGAATACTCTCGTCGTACATAATTTTATTATTAAATTGTCACGACATCTGAAATTGTCTCGAATCCGAATCCGGATTTCAAAACTATTTGGCTACTTTATTGTCGTTTCCTCCACCTTCTTCTTCTTCTTCTTCTTCACCCACTCCACCAGCTCTTCCTCATACTTGATTGTAAAAAACTAAATTCATCTAGAAATCTAACCATAGTCTATCTGAAGTTAACGCGTTTACAACGAAATACATATAAACGAATGTATAATGAAATAACAATAAGATCTCGATCGCCGCCAGATTCGTCAAAATCCAAAAGGACGATTACTCGGCTCACGTCGATGATCTTGTACACGCGATCGTGTATTTGCTGGACGG